ACAATTTCGTTTAATGAATTATTCCTGGCTAATTCGCGCGCACGAGTATCTGCGTCGTTCGCGCATTTGAACGAAAAGAATTGGTATGGAACTGGAGGTTCTATGAATTACGCCTGTCTTGAAAGTTCGTGTACAATAATTTGCATTCTTGTTTTACGCACTGTTTATGATTAATTTCCGACGTTATGGTTGCAAAGTTCCACGTCCCATTTCGATGGATTAAAGCAGTGCAATTCTGTCCGTTTGTAGAATAACACAAAATGATCAATTTCTCGTGTCAAATTATGTCTAGTTTCTTATTGTTCGTCTATAGATCGCACTTTTACGAAGAAAAGAAGCTTCTGTTGAATAAAATCTATGGATAAATACCTGAGTTACAAACAATTGAGTAGAGGTACAAAAATTCCAATTTTACTCTGTTTTCGTATTTTTCTCCTATTTATATAGGAAACGTTAATTTTAATAAAAGTACACATGATTATGATACAATTAAACGTGGCAGATGTCTGTACTTTGCATAATATTATATATATTTGTATTTGATATTCTTACATTAAAAATATAATGCTACATAATTTTCTTCCTTAATTCATTTCGATTAGAAACACGATTAGAAATAATTTTGGCCTTTTCTTTGTCTTTTGTTCTTCTTTGACTTCATTTCTCTGATGAACCAAATGTAGTCTCCCAACCAAAGCTGGGTAAAATACGTATTTTAAATAGTAAATAGTAAATAAATATTTTATTTCGAATCATGCATGTATTTTTATAAATAAAATGTTTCATTTGTTGTCAAAAGTATTTAAAATGATACTTTCAATAACATTTTATTTGAAAAACACTGAAAATATTTGTGTCATAGTTCGTAATATTTTATTTATTTAATTTATTATCAGCAAATAAAATATTTTTATTTTACTAAATTATAGTGTGAAATATATTTATTTTGGTAATCTAAAACGAACGAAGCACTTTTCCTCTGCATTATAATCGTACATTCAATGTAGTTCTTCAATGAATACTTGTATTAAGAATCTTGAATAATAATCTTCGTAAAGTGAGTGATGGAATGGGATATTTTTCAATCGCAAGAAATCATAATATTTGCAAGAAATATTTTCTTCATCTGTGTATCATATATATACAGTTTATTTTCAAGTTAAGAACTATGGAAAGTATTTAATTTTATCCTTTATGTTATCAAAATGAAACATATTTTATGTGTTAGATTATCAAAATAAAATATTAATTTTTACTCTTAACAATGGATTACCAAAACAAACTATTGTATTTTACGTTTTACATTATCACAGTAAAATATTTTATTTGCTGAAATTTTGTATTCCATTTGAAGTACTATTTTATTTCAATTCGGAAGAATCTATTATTTAGAATAGTATTTAAAATATTTTCTCTACAAATATTACCCACTTCTGCTCCCAACATTCTTTCATACCAATATCCTTGATAGCGCTGTTGAATAGTCTTGATACCTTGGTGAAACATTAACGACAGAATCAACTAACAGCGGTGTAAGTCGAGCCCGAAACAAAGGTCGCCAGATCCCTGAATCACCGCTATATTTTGACGGTTCAAATAATCCGCCGAGGCGCGAAAATAATTTCACCGGCGCGTTCGGTCGCGTTCGTGCAGTTCCGCTTCCGCGAGCGGTCAGCCTAATCTTCGGGCGTCGTTTCTCGGATCGGCGCGCATACGCTTCGTATCACTCCTGTTCTATAATTAAAGCCGCCTCGATCAAACAAACCTTCCGGCGGAGACTCGCCGAATCCACGCGAACCGGGAGAGCCCGTCTCGCGAATAATTGCATTTAAACTTCTCTAATCAAAACGTAATTGCCGACACGACGGAACGCGGCACCGGTTGCTCGCAGCGAAATCAAATCAAGCGTCGCTGGGTCGTGTCACGACGCTCGGAAGTGTTCGTCGAGTCTCGTATGAGCGGTACACGTCTCGTCTGTTTGACCTGAACGACGAATACAGTTGACGCAGGCAGTTAGCGCGACCGAATCGGTTTGTTTACATCGCAGTGATAACTCGTTAATCGATATACGTTTTAGTGCACGTTCTCTCAGCGATCACGTTGTTACCTTCCTGCTTGGATCGCGTACGATTTTTCATCGCGCCGCGATCCGCGGTAGATCAGTGGTTGATCGTTGCCCGCGGGCCACGCATTGCAGCGTTGTGTGGCACGCGAGGTAAGAGTGGTTTTTCATTCAGATTTTATGTCAGGATTGGCAAATCGTTGTTTTGGGCTCTAGGGGACAGTATAATTTATTCGGAGCCGTTGATGGAAATTAATGTTTGAGAAATGAATACAGTTATGATTTGTGTTTATGTTTACAGAACGTTCTGAGACGAAGTGACGTGCCTGAGTTCTCGTTTCTGTAGATTTTGCGTCTAAATCGATCGAAATTGTTTTTAGATTATGAAATACTTTGGAACTTTGTTAGAACTGAAACAGGAAATATGGTTAAGTATGCTTATTGTATTTTATATGTGAGAACATGTTAAGAATTTTGTTTCAGTTTTAAGAAAGTTAGATACTAACTTTGGTTTAGGTTGGTTTAGGGTGGTAGAGCAATTATTTAATATAGATTTTATTTATTATTTAACACATTGCCTACTGCACTTTTTTTTGTTGTTGTCTGCGAAAGCTTCGATTCGATTATCAAAGAGATATGCTTACATGTATTTTGGTATAAAATATAAATGTTAAATTGTCAAATTTGAATATTTTATAAATACTCAGATTTTCTATTCTAGATTCAGAATCATTTTTATTTTACTTTCGTTTACCTCTGTACTACGTCCAATTTGAAGACAATTCATGAACAATTATATTATTATCTATATTACACAATAATTATTATAGTAAGATGAATATTTCAAATGCTACAGAGTGTTCAAACTGTTTTGACATAAAATATAGATGTTAAATTACCAAATTTGTCCCGTTTTAAGAGTAGTTTAAACCAGTCGTCTAGTACTTTAGGAACAATTATAATATATTGTATAGTAGGATAGATATTTCATAAATATTTCAAATGCAGAGTCCTCAAACTGTTAGTCAATAACCATTCCGTTACTGTTCTATTTGTCCCTATTAGCTTCCATAGTTATTGGTAACGTAAACAAAACGGACCGAATTGTAATTATTAGGAATTTGCTCAAACGCTTATGAAGAAGCGAAAAATATTATTTTTATTATACTTGGGTATTTATTGCTGTATAGAATTTTTAAATTACACACTCTATAAGTATAATAAAAGCTCTTTACTATGATTAGACTCCGGATCTTTATGTATTTACAGGAAATTTGAATGTGCAAGAAACTACAAAATCCAAACAATATGCAATATATATAATATAATACATGCAATATATATGAATATAAAAAAGATTGAGTGTAAAGTTCATATTATAATATTTGCAGAATAAAATAAATCCCTATTTAGGTTAAATTTTTGTACACACGTTCGCGAAGATTTTATTTTGCATAAAGATCCGCAGTTTAACTATTACATATTTTTATTTCGACTTTACACCCATTATACATTACTTAATCCGAAAATTACTTTCGGCCAAAAAAACTTTTGCATGCAACTGTACGTACAGATTGTTACATACTAGATCTATTTTATTACACGTCAATTATTGTTCGGATGTTTTCGATGTTCGCTGTGTTTAAATCGGCCGTTTTATTTGTTTTCAGGAAAAGTTCAGCGAACCCTGTTGCAGATCGAGTTCCAGTCTTTCTTTCGTGTGTCGCAGATAGAGGCAGGAAACCATTCCCCATCCCAGCAAGCTTAAGTGCAGTCAGGTGCACCGCTCAAGTCATAGTACTTTTGCATCCAGCTTCTCGTACCACTAGTTATGACCGATGGTTACCGATCACGTCGATGATAGGCATCATTTACATATCGACACGCCTGGTGAGTAAAAGGTGAACGACATCAACCCCATTGGCTGCTGTTTGCAAACAACATTGAAATTGCACGATGCTCGGCGACGCATGATGATGGAGTCTCGACGTTCTATTGTGTACATGAAGGTGTACGTCCACGTGACGTTAAAGTTTAGGAGGGAAATAGGTTTAAAACTTTGTTTTTTTAGTGATCTGCATGAATTGTTTTAGCAAGATAGAAATGTATACAATTTAATGAAACAGTCGCGGTTGTTGCCACGATTATTTCTCGAATACAGTAAAGTCTCCATAATTGCACAAATATCTCTACTATAAATTCATTGAAAAACCATCCCCACCACTGGGAGGTTGAGAACATTTTACACATATATTCAAGTAAACGTTGTAATTTTTTAGGAGTATTTCCTCGTAAAATATGGAAGATATCACCGAAGCTCGACTATCGAAGCTCACCATCAAACGTAACTGTTTTGTGTTCGTTCTAGGGGCCACAGTTTTCATTCGAAATCAATAGGGATTTAAATTTACTTTAAAGAAATAACTTTCTTCTATATGAACCTAAATTCCCCACTGAAAAATTTAATATTGCATTTTTAGAGGTGTTTAAAACAAAGAGCATATTTTTTTTCATTTACTTCTTTTGCAATAAAAACTCCAAATGTCACTTTTGAAGAAGTGCTTCCTATATTATAATGAAGAAAAATTCATTTATCTCTTGTGCTCCTAGTCATAGTTTCAGTACATTTATAGTAGAGATATTTGTGCATTTATAAAGTCTTTACTGTACTCGCGAAATAATTGCAGCATCAACCGTGACTGTTACCGCGCAACTTCTCCACGTTCAGTTTCAAATTTCAATGAATCGTACCCCAAGAACGGGGCAGTCAATTATTATTATCTTTTTTATAATTGCATATAACACCGATTTTTAGAACATATCAAATTTTCAGCAATTATCAAAATTGCATTTTTATTTCAATCGAAGAAACTCACATAAAAATCTCTATCTTCCATAAGAGTCCTCATTAAGATGACAAAGTTTCCCCTTTCATAAAACTGTGGCGATCAATTTGCATCGAAATAGGCTCGCCCGGTTCGTGTTCAACGAAATATAAATCAAGCGAAGTTTCGTCGAGATCCAACGTTAAATAAATCCACGGAACAAGTACGTTAAAGGTGAACGACATCGGGCCGGTCCGCCGCTGTTTGCAAACAACGCGACGCTCGGAAGTCGTGCGGCGGTGTTCGTCGACGCGCGATGACGTCCCTATCGCGTTCGTATCTCCCGCGAAGCGTGCACCGACGCTTTTGACGAGGCCGCGCGACGCACAGTTGGACCGAGGCGGTTGTTCCGTGTCACAGTTTTCCGAATCATCGCGCGGACGCTCCCGTTTCCTCAATCGGTTCCGCGGGAGCCCGCAGAGCCCGCGGATGCCGTCGCGCGTGCAGTTGACGCGCGTTGTGCCAGCAGTTTTGGCTACCAACGCGTGCGGTATGCGCGATAGGATTGAAAGAAACGTTCAACCTATTCGCGCCACGACGGTTCCGGCGTTCGGATGTGTTCGTACGGCTTCGTTCGCGTAGAAGAGCGTGCGGTAACCTGCGCCCGAGGCCGCGGTTAACTAGTGCGCGGGCGAGAACCGAAGCCGTCCGTCGCGACGCTTTGTTTACGCGCGTATCAGCCGTGACGGGCCGATGATCGGACAGGCGCCCTTGCGTGCACCGCCCGTTATCCGAGCACCTTCCGAGTCGCGATTAGTCGCCTAATCGTCGTGCTAACTCGTACAGTCAGTACGTTACCGCGCGTCCTATCATCGCGACGACGATACCGCTGTCGGCCAGTGATTGCTCCGTTGTTGTGATTACCGATTAGCTAGGAATTTCGCGGCTACTTTAACGATAAATACATGTCTGGTAGTAGGTATTCCTCTGTTGTTGATAGTTTTTTTTACCAACATTGATTCTAGAGAACGTGTGTATAATAAGTTACGTTGGATAACCTCGGTACTCGGGTTCAACTTGTTGGGTCGGTGTTAAAAGAGTTGGTAATATAAACAAGTATAGTAACGGATTACGAATAGAGCTGCGGTATAGTGATCTACTCGTGACGGTCATTTGAGTATATGAAAGTGGTCTAAGTCAAAATTGGAGAAAGAGTTTAGCAGTTATTTCGCACTACATTATTTTCAACTAAATCAGTGTAATTTTTTTTTAAGAAATATGTGACTTAGACCACTCTCATAATTATGGACACATTTGAATGGAGATTTGTTTGGATCGGGTTCATTCTATACTTATATATATATATTCTATTATTTCATTCTTATATTTCATTTTATATTTATCCAGACAAAAAAAAGTTTCATTCTATACTTTAAATACAAGTTCGTATACTCGAGAGATTTTTTCTTTCTGGGTTCTCTCTATATGTATGCGAGCTTCCAGGTGTATAATTTTTATAATACTCTTTATACTCGTTCCTGCTGTTTATTATTATTATATCTTTGTAATTGCATTGTGTACGTATCTTGATATCCCATCACGAGCGTACGATATCGGTTGATTTGCAATCACTAACGAGCTCGTAAATCATTCATCGTTTTCAATATCTTACTCAATTTAACGAGCACATACTTTTTTTTATAATTGATCTCCTTCGTCGTAAACAAGGTTAAGCATTCCACAGTATTTTACTGATTCGCGAAATACGCGATTCGACCATTATTTACACTTCCACCAGCGATTGTGTACATTCTCCGGTAATTGTACGCAATCACAGACTTTTAACTTCCGTTCTAGCACGCATGCTCGAAGGAGGTTATGCCCAAAGACATCGACCAGGAAGGAATACTTTAAAAAATTAAAGATTGGGGGAAGAGTATATTATTAAGAATATATTAAAGGGATTTTGTAAATTTTCGTATTACACAATAATAAAAATTAACAATATGCATAACAAGTATGCATAACAGTATTTCAGTCCGTAAGAAATTTCTGAAAAAAAAAATATTTTCTTAATCTACATCAACGTAGCAATCATTAAGTTTAGCAGTTTTATAATATCTTAAAAATGACTATTTTTATGACTTCTAGAATGAAACAAAATTTGTGGAACATTTGAGATATTGCGCCATTTTGTGAAAAAATGGAGCAGAATTTAGAAAAAAAAAAAAAACGACAATGCTCAACGATTGCTACATTTATGTAGATCAAGAAAATATTTTTCCTTTTATTTTTCAGATAAATCATGCTAGAGATTATGCTATTAATGTTCGATACAAAAATTTACAAAACCACTTTAACCTCTTCACGCCCTTGGCCACATATGTAAACACTTAGTTTTTTATAATTATAATTACTGTCGATAACAAATAAAAAAAACAACAATTTGATAATAACAAAAGAAAATCGTCCCTGAAGAGGGTTAAGGTATCCTTAATAATATATCCTTCTCCTAATTTTTAATTAATTTAATAAGCGACACAGAAAAAATTGTAAAGAAGGTCTTTTTTCGTCCCTGTCACAGCGTTGTTCCCCCTTAAAAATATCTTTACCAGATATTCGCTACGCATAAACTACGATTTGAGCTCCAACAGCTTGAAACCAATATTCGATATCAGTTTTGGCCCGAATATCCGACCACGAGTCTCGCACGTGGTTGTAGCTTAACACTTGATTTACCGGGAGCCTATTCTTAGCCTTTTTAATTGGAGTATTTAGTTATTCGAATTTCTTTACTGTTTTCATTCTTGTCTACTTACAATGTTCAGTGTTTGGACACAGACTTGGTTTTTAATGTACCCAGCAACAGTATGGAGGAATTATTGTCAGCCTAGATTGCCATACGATACCGTAGAAAATTCTTCTTTGAATTAAAGTCTGTTTCTAAATAGCCCGGTAGATAAAGTGTTAAGGGGTTAAAAAGAGTATCAAAAAAATATCTCTAACCCTTAAATGGACAATTGTGTTTTTAAACAACATACTAAACATCACAGATACAATTGATCTTCTTTTAATTTTTTGTTAATTTTGACAACTAGTTTTTATTTCTGAACGAATTTTGTACTTTTTTTTAACGTTGGCACTATCCAATATTCTTATGCATTGAAAATAAGTTAATGTCAAATGTCACTTCGAAGAAAACTTTGCAAACGTGAAACAAAAATCGTCCATTTAAGGGTTAAGACCAGTCACTTGTTCCATCGCGATAGAAATAGCAACGAACGAACGTCGATAGGTTTAGCGTTAATAAAACAGAATCACTGATTATTCCAGAGTTCATCATGGATTACACGTCGAACATCGCCGCGGTCTTCTAATCTTCCACCGACGGGGAACCGATCCCGATCCGCGTCACGTGCGCGCGTGTGCCATCCGCGCGTCTGCCGGCGACCGATCGCCGCTCGCGTGGTTCCGTCGCGAGTTAGTGTGTGTTCTCAGTGTGTGACCTCCCATGCCGGGAAAACGTGACGATCCGGCGCAAGTGACACGCTCCGAGGTTCGAGGGGTCGACGATCAGCAGCCTTAATCCAGTAAGTGGCCTTTGTTCCTCTCCCGTCGCGCTTTCATCGCGGTATTTCGCGTTTCCCGGAATTCCCGTTGCCGGTCGATTGTTTTGGAGCGTGAAAGGTACGCGCGACGGCCTTCGCTGGTTGGATATCTGTGTCAAGCCGTGTTCTCGGCCGGAAATTCTTATTTCTCGACGGTACGCCAGTACTTTCCAGGCGGGCGCTTCCAATGTTTTGGTGATTGATACCTCTGCCCGCTATTGGGCTAGGTTTGTTGTCGAGCGAATCGGAGATAGTAATCGGGGAGCCAAATGACGATTTTATTTATGTCATTTTATGAAATGAAAATGACGCTTTTGGTAGAAAAGGTAGAGATAGCTAAATGGCTGAAGCAGGCTATTGAGTTTAGGCTCTGCGCCCTCTACCTCTCAATGGAGGTTTGGCCAGAGGACTTTGTTTAAGTGGGCATTTCACTGTGAACGCACAAGAAAAGTATATTTTCAATAATTTTTGTCTTTGGAACTATTGCATAAAATTGAATAAATGTTTTTTCCCCCTTTCTGATTACTCAGTGGTTCGTTAGAGATACGCGTCGTACTTTTAGTGACATCATGTTCATTTTGAAAACAGAAAACACGGGACTTCGAATCAGAATTATTTATGTAAAAATAGCTTGTCGAATAGGCGATGTAACAGTTACGATTTCGAATGATCGATTATAAAAGAGTCTAAATTTTGACAGAAATGTTTAAATACTAATGATTTTTTGAAATTTAAGATACGATCGTATTTCCAATTGTTCCTTTGTGTTTTAAATATTTAGTTTACGAACTTCCCATTTAAAAGTTCTTAAATTATTGTTCCAAGTCCACAGATAGCGATGTCGTATTTTTATCTTCTAAAGCCGAAGAAAATACAACATTTTACTCGAAACTAGATAAGTTTATTCGTATTTTAAATGCTGTTTCTTAAAACCGTTAAGTTTATCTTTCTTTTGTTACATTGTTGGGTCAAGGACGTCGCGTTTAATCTTCTGTTAAAATTAGCATGTATTACAACTTAACAAATATTATGGGCAACTTTACACCGAGAAGTCGTGACAATACTGCGCACCGTGAGACATCGTTACGAAATTCAATTATGAATATTTATTCACAATTTTAGTAGCCACTTTTGCGTTATGATATTTACAAATAGTAGCAACTTCATGTACACTGATACTCAAAAGTTTGGATAGAAAATAAACAAACTGTTTCGCTAAAAATATTATATACTACAGTAAATTAAATTATACTTGGGTACGAATTACTTAAGTATTATTTGGAGGAAAAAACGTTAAATATAGTTGAATTCAGGCACTTTGTTATTACGAATAGTTAGCAATCTCAGTTGATGGTTGATATCTTTCTGTTAATTAAGAAGCTTTTGTTAATTTACTAGCAGTTGGTAAATAATTTTAGATATATTTGTCCCATAACTAGCGTATGAACCAGAAATGGGAGGTAGCTAAGACGATTTTGATCAAAAATTTCCTTTGAAAAAATGTCGGTGGGGGTTTGATTTTTGAAATATTAACGAAAACCTCCGACCAATCACAACACCTGAAAAGCGCGCGCTGAGTCGCGAGAGCATAGGTTCGAGCCAGGAGTGACTACACCAGGTCGCGGCGCGCTACTCAGGCGCTGTGATTGGCCCGTGGTTTTCGTTAATGATTCAAAAATGAAACCCACCGACATTTTTGCAAAGGAAATTATTGTTCAGAATCGTCTCAGGTACCACCCTGTATAAATACGAATGGCAAACTATACTCGTATTAAATGTAACTGTCCGGTTAAGCCCATCGAGAAATTATCGTTATCAGCATCGGTTTGTTTGACAATTCCACCAGTCTATCTCGCGCTTCTTCGCGCAAACCTGCAGACACATGCACTCCGTATCTCAAATAGAGATGTAAGCTAGCGTGGCGTCAAATTTGGAGTCGTGTTAGGCACGATTCGCGGTAAGGAAAGTAGCCTCGGGCATGCAATTAACTTTTATCCGACCGATAGTGATTTAGCAAAGCATCATTTGAGGAATTGATCGACTATACGAACAGGTCGTTCTTAAACATTTTAAATTGAATGGAAAATGAGAATCTTCTTTTCTTAGGCACTTTGAGAGAAACAGGAACATAGTGTTTAATTCTGCGGTATTATAGCGGTGCTCGTTAATATGTGATGAAGTATTAATAAATCAATATTATTGAACATATTCAATTTTCAAGAACATTTTATAAATCGAAAAAATGCATGATACTAATCATTATAATTCTAATGTTATTTTTAGGATTCTATTTTATTTACAATTTAAGTTGAGTGTATTTGTTATAAATACAAGAATTGTTTCCCTGTTTATTTATTTATTTATTTATTTATTTATTTATTTATATATTTATATCAAATATACTAGGTTGTCCCATAAGTTCCCGAACATTCGATGCTTGAATTTTTGACATTAACATTTTTTATGATATTTGCGTCATCCAAACCCGAAAGTATCACCTGTTAAAAATCACCTTGAATATCGTAAACATACATACGAGCAGTGATTAAAATTCTCGAACGATTTTGCGGAATCATCGGATCAACCACCCGGCTAATAAACAACGTAGAACCGCGCCTGAAAATTCCGCGTTTCTTTAAAAAAAAAAAAAAAAAGAAAAAAGAAAGAAACAGCGATCGAAAACAGAGCCCCTCGATCGTGTCGTTATCGTTTTCAGCGCGTGTACGCGACGGAAATGATCGGTCGTCGATCGTAAACGTCCATCGAATGATTCGAGCATGTTGCAGTACGGCTGGTCGATCCATAAACGAGCCCGTATACGTGCCCCGGCGATCGATACGATGATCGTTCGGTTTTCTACGATCGACGTTATAGCACGACACGATCGTGGAAGCGTTACGAATCTAGGCCCCGATGCTCCTCTCTATCGGACGAGCGAGGTGTATCGAAGCAGAGTGAGGCGATAAGATAGCGGCCGGTTATCGACTCGCTTACACTTAGTTCACCTGCGTCCTAAGTACTCTTATCTCGGCCTTTTATCTGTGACCTCTGCTCTGCACGGCGCGGTTGATATCGCGCGAGACACGAAACGTCTGGACGTATGCACGACCATACCTTCGCTATAATGTCTACATCGCAAACGGTGCACCGACCCACCTACCTTCACGCACGCTCGTTCCAATTTTCAGGATTGGCTCTGTCCTCGCCCCCTCTGTAGCCCCCCCCCACGTTTCTTTCCCTCGGTTGCTGTCTTATTCGCATTCCCCGCCATGCAGATCTTACCTTTCCCCTCTGCCCTCCACTTTGCTTTCCCTCGCCGTCTCGCTCCCTTTCCATCTCGTTCTCTCTTTCTCTCTCTCTCTCTCTCTCTCTCTCTCTCTCTCTCTCTCTCTCTCT